CATATGTACTCAAATAGCTTGAGAAAATGTTTAATATTTTTTTAAATTTACAATAAGAACCTAATATACCACAGTATAAGAAAAATTGTAAGAATGAAACTCCAACAGAAATTTATAGAACAAAATGTATACTAATTCCCCAATTAAAGACCCGTAAAGTAGTTTCAGTGCTTTCTAACCCACCTTCTCACAGCAGGGAATTAATCCCTCTGGGGGATGCAAACAAACTTCAAAGAGAAGATTATGCCCAGACACTAGTACTGTATAGTGTAAGATTTATACCTAAGTTTGCTCCAATACTTTGGCAGAGATCAGAGATGCAAGTCCAAGGAACAAAGACCAATTTTAAGGCAGATTTATTTGCAATCATTTAAAATGTCAAAAATAATGCATTAAATGGTAGCAGAAAAAGGCAAATATGATAAGGTTTATTAAAAACAAATAAGAAGGTTGTAGAAGTAGATAAAAGATTACCTAAAATCAAATATGAAGTGATAGCTATTTACAGGTAAGAGCAACTAGGAAATCTTACAAATTCCCAAAGAAAGTTAAGTAAGTAGCATCACGAGTTCCATTTGTGTACCTAAATTTTATTTTCACAGTGTTTGGAAAGTATCCCGTTCAGTGCCATAGGCCTTGTTGCAATGTCTAAGCAGAAGTGACAGATCACATGTCCCTGCCATGGATTTCATGGAATGCCTTTCAGAGCGCAAAACACATGAAGAGTTTACAAAAGAATGTTTACAAAAAACACCTACCGTGATACAGACATTAAAAAGTTATGGATGGAGGAAAAAACTGTCTTTAAAGTCTAGTGATATTTCTCATTGGCCTTTCTCACATGTGTCATCTTTTTATTGTGAAGTAATTTTAGGTATGATTTGAAGTATGTGATGATTTTATAAAAATATGTTTTATGTAGAGGAGTAGCATATTTTAGTAATTTAGCTGTTTCCCAATTTTAAAAAATCATGAATAAGAAATCTAATTTAGAGTTTAACTTTTCTGCATATTAATCATCTAATAGAAAACTAGTCATTGACAGAGTAGAGACATAAATGTGAATGGCAAAACTATACATTTCTTAGAAGACAGTATAGGAAAATATTTTCATATCTGTAGGGTGGGAAAATACTGATAAACTGTATTACATTAAAATCACCCTTTTGATCAAAGGTACCGTAAAGAGATCAAAAGACAAATCACAGAGTGGGAGAAGATATTTGTAACATATATAAACAGAAACTTAATATCCATAATATATAAATAATTTCTTATAAATCAATAGGGAGAAGGTAGACAACTCAATTTAAAAAATAAGCAAGAGATCTGAACAGGCACTTTAAAAAACGAAGCTGAATAAGATGCCAATAAACATATGGAAGGTGCTCAATCTCATTAATCATCAGGCAAATGCAAATAAAAACGAGGATATACTACTATACAATCATCAGGCTGGGGTGGGGCAAAAGCCCAACTGTACCAAAAACTGATGAAGTTGTACAGCAATAAGGACTACCAAACGCTGAAGGATGTGTAGGCGAACACAACCAATTCTGAAAAACTTTATCATGATCCAGTCATCAAGTATCCTATGGAAATATGTGTACACGCACCACGTTCACGTATAAGAAGGATCACAACAACACTGCCTGCAACAGCCAAAAACCGTGAACAACTTCAAAGGTTTTCAACAGTAGAATGAATAAATAAATTGTGATATAACCCTACAGTGTATTACTTACACTGCAATGAAAATGAAAGACTACAGCTACACAAAACATAGAGGACCCTTAAAATATCATTTTGAGCAAAAAAGCAGCAAAACTACACTTAAAATAACTTTATTTCTAGAAAATTCAGAAACAGGCACATTAAATGTATTAAAACTATAAAGTAAAACAAAGAAATGATTGTTACAAGAGTCAGGAGAAAGACAGAAAGGCATCACTGGGGTGCTGGCCAAACCCATTTCTAACATTTACAGCCAAGAGTACAAATCGAGGCCCATGTACCCATATGTCTAAAATATTTAGAAGCTATGAAGCTTATGAAATGAACTATGAAATAAAATATGTTCTTACCTTCCTATCATGACAAATATGGCTTTATCTACCTAGAAGGCCAAATTTATACTGAGAATTGCTGGATTCCGTAGAGTTCCATGCAGAAACCTGATGGTGTAGAAAAAACCGGCCACTGGTGCACTGCCCATGGTCCCCTTCTCCACCCCGCACTGCCAAGGACCTCGCACCCAAGGATGCAGTCATCTCCATTCACAAGTCCAAGCTCCAGTCCTTACCCTACTTCCTACAAACAGCCACCCATAGGCCATCTCTTAGGCTTAGGGTCTGTCTATGCACCAGCAGCTCCGGCCACCCTCAGAAAGATGAACCCCAGGAAGAGACTCCGCAGGCTCTGGAAATAAGGCCCGGCCCATCTGGGCAAGAAATTCTGAGATCCCAGGTACTCAAAGCATGATCTAGCATGGAAGGGTTCAGGCTCCAAGTGGGCATGTCCCCTAGGCCCCAGAGACTCCTTGTCCCATGGAAGAGGGCCAAAGCAGGGAGCACTAAAGCACAGGGCCAGGGTAGTGATCCCTCTCGCAAGAAACAGTATTTCCTTAGAATCAAGCGATATTATATTTCTTAACCTGGACAGCGGTAACGTGGGTACTCACTTTATAACTATTTGTTAAACTGTACACAAAAGTTTTATGTACTTTCCCTCACATAATGAGACTGATACCATGTGCCTACTCATATGATAAACAATATCATGTTTTAGGTACTCTTGCCAAAAATGCATAACCTGAATCTAATCATTGGAACATAATCAGATCGAATCCATGGACTTTCTAAAAAACAACAAAGCTAATTTCTTGAAAAATATGTCATAAAGGTAAAGAAAAGCCACAAAACTATTCCATACTGAAAGAAACTAGAGTCAAACTAAACAGAGTCCATGATCCTGAATCAGATTCTGGACAAGAGGGGGAAACTGTATAAAGGACAGTACTGGGACAGCTGATTAAATTTAAATATGAACAACTGACATTACATCAATGTTAAATTTTCTTACCTCAATAACTGCACTAGAGTTATGTTAAGAAAATGTCCTTACTCTTAGGAGATACATTCTGAAGAATTTAGTGGTGAAGGGTCACAATGTCTGCAATTTATTCTCAAGTAGTTCAGGAAAAATAATACGTATATGCATGTAAAGTGAAGCAAATATGGCCAAAAAGTAACAACTGATAAGTCTAAGGAAAAGGTATATGCACTTGACTATCCTTGTAACTTTTATCTTTTAAAATATTTTCAAAATAAAAAGGTTTTTTAAAAATATACTATAGAGTTAAATAAGAAAGGAGTTGCCTACAGGAAGGGGAGAGGAATCAGATGACTGGGATAAGAGGATAGAATAAGACTTTTTATTTTGTTCATTCTTCCATCTTATTTGTACTTTTCAAATTTTGCTAACATTCCCCCCAAAATTTCACTTTAACTTTGGAAGAGAAGCCCTAGAACATTGAAAGGGGAAGCATTAGCAAATATAGACATAAGAAAGATGTTTGTCCTTAAAGCTATCAAATCACAGCCATCATCAAATGGTTATTCTGTGACATCAGCCCACAGAAGTGCTGCTGCTCATATACACACCGTACACACCAAGTAACCCTTCCCAATTCAATGGCTTGCACAGTTGGAGGTACAACTTAGCATGGATTTTAACATTCTACTTCTGGAACAACCATACATTGGTAGCATGTTTCACGGCTTTCATTAGATAATCCAGGAAGTAGAGCGCACACAGTTATCTCAAGTTTGCTATGAGGAGAAATTCATTCATTTTAAAAAACATTGGTGATATTGTGCAAAGCCCTGAAAATGACATAGAAAGATGTGTATATCATGGTCACTGTCTTCAAGAAGGCAATACAGCAGAGTGGAAGAGAACGTGAACCACACAGTAGCTACATGATCTTGGTAAGTTATCTAGCCTCTCTGCAATTCTGTTTTCTCATAGGTGTAATGGAGATGTGACTCAACTATCTTTAAGGGCTGTATTGTAAGGACTGACCATATATGTCAATCTCAATAAAAGACAAATTCAATAAAAGGTAGCTATTTTTATGAGTATTACAATCCAATTAAATAATGAAATAGAAAATTATGCCCAAAGTTGTATAGCCAATTATGGGTGTAACTACCATTGAAATCCTAATTATTCCAAGTTTCTAATCCAAGTAAATTCACTCCCCTACACACCAAATAATATATACAACTGTTAGTATGTGTGGACCAAAAGTTGCTCCCTCACATAACTTTGGCCGACGCATCACTCTTTGAGGCACCAAGGAAAAAAAAAAACACTGGGTCATAAGGTTGTTTTTCTCCAATAACCGAGAAGGATTTTAGGTCAAGAAGTAATACACTCAGCCTGCACAAGATACTCTAACCTTATCTAAGACCCTGTCATCCAGGAATATGTGTCCAAATTAGTCCAAAAGCTAAAGCCAGAGGAGGTGTTTCCTTCAAATAATTTCCAACCGTCTTTTACCAGCAAACAAAATATACTAAATTTCAAACATCTTCCAGTTTAGTAATGAAGATTTCCCTTATTATTATATATCCCTTAATATGTATTTATATATAAATAATTCCTTGTATTATTTTATAACCTAAATTTCAGCCTTCCTCATTAGCAAGGTGACTATATTTCCTACTAAATAGATGACTTCCAGGTATCTGCGAAAGGTACAAACCAAAACCCAATTACTGCAATGAATAAAGCCATACTCCAAGCCCGTTGTGGCAATGACTCTTAATTTAAGTTGTTCACTGTGCATATGATGATGTGGTCACAAATAAAAGGGAAAGACACTGCAACATACTTAAAGATAAACAGCAGTTTAGAATATTCACATATTATCCCGTGTGCATGGCTATCTCATACAATATACAAGAATGTCATATCATAACAGAACATGCAAATACCTGAAAGAGTGCCACCTGTCCTAGGATAGGCCACTTCAACATACACTTCAAACGTGGTCTCCGGGTTTTGCCTACAAAAGAAACAGATCATGATTACTGACAGGGATTGAAGCAGCATAGTTTATTCAATCTAAGATGTCATTAGAACATGTGAGCTCTGATATAAAGCATGCCTTGATTAAAATCATTAGCTCCACAACTTAATGGCTGTGGGACCCTGGACAAGTTAAGTTATTCAACTTTCCTGAGCCACGCCTACCTAATCTATAAAATAAAAACACCTAACCAGAAAAATTACTGTGAAACTTAAAAAACACACGCACAAGTTATCTGGGTATAGTGTCCAGCCAGTAATTGGCTAGCCATTATTACAATTTTACAGGTGTCACATTTCCAATTAACACAGCTGGATCTCCAAGGCCTTAGGTAGAATTTTGAGGAATCTCAAAGCAAGGCAACACTAGCACAAAATAGCCTTCTCCCTTGTATTCTAGGATACAACATTCACATGATGAAGTTAACCTGCTTATTTACAGGTTTTAAGACTGAAACAAGAGAAACAGTGCCCTGTCTCACTAGGCTGTTATGAGACGGGACCCTAATCTAAATGTAAGACTGTTCTCGCACAGGGGCTTCACCTGTATTGGCGATTGCAAGTATATGAATGTTCATTATTATATCCTTTTACCTTTTTATGTCATAAATATTTCATAATAAGTTTTTAAAAGATCACAGCACTAACAGAATGTTAACAGTTAATTCCAAGTGATGAGAACATCAGGATTATATTATCATTGCATTTTCTCTCTCTTTGATTCTAAAACTACAATAAAAATATATTATTTCCAGATTGAATGAAAATCATTCAGCAGAAGAAAATGTTATACTTTCAAATATCTATAACTGAATTCTATTTTAAACCTAACAACAAAGCTCAGAGAAGAAACTCTGAGTTGCCTAATCAAATATAAGATTTAATTTCAATGAAATAAATACTTTTTGAATTTACCCAGTAGATTCCACTTTTCAAAATAACTATCCTTTATCTCATTTCATTCTTATTCTAATCCTATGAGGTAGGTGTGTCAGGCATTTTCATCAACCTTCCGGTGAGGAACCTGAGGCAGAGTTCCTGGGTCACTTGTTGGTAGCCCCACAGATGGCTAGAAATGCAGCCCAGAACCAGAATTCACACCTCCCAGCACTCAAATTCTGTTTCATTGATTCTAAGATGAACTCCCCCCCACCCCACACATTTTCACGTTTCTTACAATCTATTGCACCTTACAATTCTACATGGCAGCCTTCTTTTCTTCCTTGGTAATACATATAGTAACAGTGCATCTTAGAAATAACGGCAACCTATGTTCAATAAAATATGGTAATACTTCTTCTTGTCCCTTAGCAGTAGAAAGAAAATGTGTTTTTTCAATCAAGGATCTAATTATTTCTCTTTTGAAGAATCGTCTCTTCACTGAAGAGAAACTTGGGGTTTTGCTTTAAGTAAGTACTTACAGCTGAAAAGAGTGGGCTGCTCTAAAATTCAAGGTATTTAAATATACCTTGTCAAATATCAGTTAAAAATTAGACACTAAATCAGAGTATCTTACTTAAAAATAATAAAGTAAATTGAAGTTTTGAGAGCCTTGAAAACAAATTTTGTGCTTTTTTCCCTGCCAGAGATACAAAAAGACCTACAAAGTCGGCCCCCTTTGGCCACCAAACATTTGTGGAAAATACCATATGGAAACATCCTTTTCATTCAAATGACCTCAAAGAACAGTGTTTGATGAAAGAAAGCAACGTTGTAAGGTCATCTGAAGAACACCAGGAAAATTCCTTCTAAAACCTAAGTAAATCTTTCTTAAGTCTACTTTGTAACTGGCTGAATTTCATCCCAGCGTTCCATTCCTCTAGATTAAGATAATGGCTTTTAAGGTGTCTACAAGACCCTAGGACTCCATAAAGGTTCTTTAGAGCTTTCACACATTTTATACGCAAATTTCCACGTTTATTTCTCCCCATTTAAAAAACTGAAATACAAACATGAGCATAGAAAAGTGTTACATACCAAATTTTTAAACACTGGCGCTCCAACGCATTAACCTATGCCACTAAGTTAAGGTGACTGTGCAGACCTGCTATCTCTCTAAGAACATTGGCTCTACTCATTGTCTCTGCTCCTTCTCCTGTCTCTCTTTAACCTACTTCAACCAGGCTTCTGAGCCCACCGCACCACTGAAGCGACCTGTCACGGTCACCAATGACCCCGCATTGTTAAAGCGGGCTAAAACGGTCAGTTCTCAGGGCTTGTCTCACTGAGCCTCTCAGCAGCATTTGACACAGTACAATGATTTGCCCTCCTTGAAACACTTTCTTCACTTGCCTTCCAGAATATCACTCTCTGTCCTTAGTCTTCCTGACTCACTGGCTGCTCCTTTACTAATTCTTTCTCAAGGAAACTCTCCTACCCTGGAACTTAGTCCTGAACCTCTCCCCATCTACACTCATTACTTAGATGGTCTCATTCAGTCTCATGGCTTTAATTATGCAAATACTGACCAGCCCCAAAGTCACTTCTCCAACCTGCTTTCTTCCATGACTCCAAATGCCCTCATCCAACTGCCTACTCAGCATCTCCACCTGGATATCTATGAAGCATTTCTTATTTCACAAACAGTGCTTTTCTCCCTTAAACCTGCAACTCCTGAAATCCATTAGTTATTCAGACCAAGAAACTTGGTGTCAGCCTTGAGTCCTTTGCTTTATGTACCATGATCATTTCCATGCCACAATCCAATCAGCAAATCCCACTGACTTGATCATCAAAACCTATCCAGAACCTCACTGCTCGTCAGCATCCCCAACGCTGCCGTCTTTGACAGATCACTGTCGCCACACCTCTGTCACTGCAGTCCTCTCCTGACTGGTCTCCCTGCTTCCTCCTTTGCCCTCCAACAGTCAGATTTCAACTTCGGGACCAGTAACCTTTTTATTCTAAAGGTCAGGTTATGTCAGTCTTCTGCTCAACACCTCCCAAAAGTTTCCCATACTACTCCAAGTCAAAGTCTTAGTTCTGGAAATAGATGGTGGTGATGGTTATACAACAATATGAATGTCTTTAATATCAGTGAACTGTCCACTGAAAAGACGGAAAATTTTTCATTATGTGTATTTTACCACAATTCTAAAAAAACAGTCCTCACAAGGTACTACATGATCTGGCCTTTGCCTCTCTCCCCAACTTCACTTAATAACCTCTCTCCCCTCGCTCACTGCACCCCAGCAACACTGGCCTTCTCTCTGCTCCTCAGGCACACCAAACTCACTTGTATCTTACAGTCCTTTGCACTAATCTTCAATATAGGTGGCTCTTCCTATCATCTAAAACTCGGTTTATTTTTGACCTCCTCAGAAAGGCCCCCCTCAACATACTCTCTACCATCTAATTTTAATTATCCACATCATACCTATCACGATCTTGTTTCTTATCAGTCACCCTCCCCTCCACATAAGCTGCAGAAGAGCAGACACTTTGTCTATCACACCCATTAGCGTTTCCCTGAACAGCATTGGCATGTAGCCAGAATCAAGTAAGTATTGAGAAGGAATAAATAAAGTACAAACTAGCTTTCCTGGGGTCTAAAAGATTTCAAGAAATGACAGGAGTATACACTTCAGTGATTCTCAAGTTTTAACAAGTTAAAAGACAGATTTCCAGCCCTACTTCAAGAGTTTCTGGGGTGGAACCCAAGAATTAGCATGTCTAACAAGTACCCAGGTAATACTTATGCTGCTGGACTAATAATCACACTTTCAAAACCACTGATCTAGTTAAATGGAATTCTTCCAAGTAACTTAGTGCACATAATAGAAAATACACATAGGTTATACCTCAGTAATCACTCATTTTAACAGTTTCTTACTCAGTTCAAATAGCTGCCAGAACTCTATTACATGGAGCCAAAGATTATGACAGTCTCTTTTAAAAGAAAAAAAGAAAAGCAAAAAGCTGACCAAAACACTAAGATCGAATTAGACTATAATTATAATTTATAGTCATGGTTATCCATGATCGTTTACATGTTGCCTTATGGAAGAAGTGGTGACTAATGTTGTGACAAGTTATATAACATACCAACAAATACACATAAGTTATTTTAAGGGCCAGCGAAGCCAATGCAAATGGAAGCATTTTCCATTTCTCTACAAATCAAAAAATAAATTTAAAAGTGTGTCCTCTAAATGCAAATGGCCAGGCGGCTCTTAATATTTTCATTAAGTCTGAAAACAATTAAGACTGTAACAATTTCCAGAGAATTTCTGGGACTACCCTGAGACTGTTTACACCTTCCATCACTCTTCAAGATGCTCAATATTTTTAACTACTTGACTCTAGGAACTGAAATCCCTTCTCTGTCCTATTAACACTCCCTGCTATTTCAGTACATGTAATGATGCTGAGAATACCATATTCAGAGCCAATTTTCCAATATGGACCCAAGTTTTCCCAAACTTGCTGTATCTTGATGCTATATCTTAACATATTGCCATGGAAATGTCCTGGTTCTGCCGTGATATCCCATTATTAGTTGCCTTACACTCCTATACTTCCACAATGTAGAACCCTGCCCACCTGCCAAGCATTTTTTGTTTGCCACCCACACTCACCTTCTGCAGTTTTACACCCTAAGACCCAGCCAGAACTAGCTGTAGCCCTCTGAACAAACCATGCTGATTCTCCAATAATAACATCATCACCATGGCCACTAGTTACTATTTCCTATGTGCCAGGCATGATCCTAAGCACTTTAAATGCACTAATTCAGTTATTCTTCAACAACTGTGTAGGTATTACCCCCAGTTCAGAGATAAGGACACAAACTCAGAGGATAAACTGGCCAAAGTCAAAACAAGAAAGTAGCAGAGTCAGCATGGATCATCAAAAAGCACTAACCACTGGACTATTCTATTGTGCATTTTTCAACTGCTCTTCTGCAAAAAACAGTCCTTCTAATCTTTTTAACTTGACAAAGTCATTCATCAAGCCTTAGCTTGGGCATTTCTTCCT